AAAATGGAATCGGAACACAAAAAGATGAGAAAAAAGCATTTGAGTGGTATTTGAAATCAGCAGAGGGTGGTGATGCTGGTAAACAAAATAATCTTGGTCGGTGTTATAGGAACACAACGAGATGAAAAAAAACATTTGAATTATTTTTAGAATTATCAAAAAGATTACAATTATCGGATATTGGTCTGATTCTAAATACAGTAATTTCGATAATTGAAATTTGTCAAGAGAATCCACCACTTATACTTAACATTAGTAAACTATTTAAACTTCATTTTTATTAAATAAACTTTAGAAGAATAATAATTAATATGATATAGAATTAAAGCAGATAATAAAAACCCAGTTATGAATGAATACTCGATAGTAATGCGTTATCCAAAATATAAGTATAGGGACTTCCAACTACGAAAAATTGACTCGGGAAGAAAAGTTATGTTATTTAACTTGTATTATCAGGAGTCTGAGCATTAATTCACGAAAAAAAACTTGTTTGTTACAACTTTCACCCTGGAAATGCATTATTACATGTTAACTGGATTTTCTATTTGCTAGATCAGCAATCCCAAAGTTGACAATGAAAGCATCAAGCGATTTACGGGGTTCTTCCTTATATGAGTCCGGAAAACCATATACTAAAGCTGCAGATGTTTATAATTTCGGGATGATTATGTACGAGATTGTCACAGGTGGACCATTTGGTGAATGAATTCATGATATACATCTCGTATGCGACTTCTATAAAGGAGTACCTACAATACCAAATAATGTTCCTAAATTATTCAAGTTTATTATTGAAAAATGTTGGGATCCTATTCCAGAAAACAGACCAACTGTTGAGGAACTTGTAGAGTTTGTCAAATTTATCAATTATGGATATGCGAACAAGCCGAGTACTTTACATTTTCAGAACTACACCTCTTTAGAATATCCTAAGATAAATAAGTGTATCAAACTATTAGAATATCCTAAGATAAATAAGTGTCTCAAACTAGAAAAGCAGAAATTAGATGAACTTGATAAGGAGATGGAATTGCAAAAAAGCATTCCTATGAATATGAACAAAAAACAAACAGTTCACTCCAATGCAGTTTGCACCACTTTTTTGTTTAAATGAGACGGTACTCGTTTCTGGATATTTCCTCGCAATTTAAAATTATCACCATTTAAAGTGATTTTAGATACATGTATATCATCCGGCACAATGAAACATAAAACAATTATTACATCCAGATTCCTTCTGTATGCTGACATGTTTTAAACTATTTTGACTAGCTCATTATGTTTAATGGGGATGTTTTTGAGACAGTAATTTGAAAGATTAAGTTTGGCGTAAAAATTAGATCTATGAGAGCCGGTCTACATATCGAATATACTCTGTAATTAGATTTTTTTTCTATAATAAATTCACTGAATAAAAAAGATATGGTTAATTCACTCCCAATTACTATCGAAAACATTTATATAAACTTTACCTCATTTTCTTGTAGTTGTCACATTTCGAACTTTTGATCACCAATCTTGAAGAGATGAAGCACATATGACTTAAAATAATTCCCCGAGAGCTGGAAGAATCATTAGTAACTAGATTATTAGAAATAGATTGTTCCATCTACTATCCTCCAGTTTTTTCTGAATTTATCAAAATGCGACTACTTATTAAAATAAAAAAAATAATTAAATAAATACATGATTTCTGATTTATTAATTATAGAAATAACAGTGTCTTTTGACTAAACAGTTTCTGATAAAATTAAATTAAATAATAATGCAAATAAAAAATTTTTAACAAAAACTTGTTTATATTTACAAATTTCAATGCTAATAATTCAATGAGAAAGTTGTTTTAGTATATTAATTCATTAGATATATATTATTAAAACCTTTTATCTTAATATGGTCCAGTGCAAAAAGATTCATACCTCAAATAATCATTAATAAATTATTTTTTAAAAATAAACTTTTAATTCTGTCTCATTTAATTAAGTCATTAGATATTAGGATTTATTTTAATATATATATTTTAATTATATATATTTCATAAAAAAATATTTACTAGTAATAACTTTTATCACATAAATTTTACTATTAGAGTATGGCAAAAATGAAAGATAAATAAGAATTCCTTAGAAATTTCTAATCCGATTATTTCTGGTCATTGCAAACAATAATAAATATTAATTATCTCAAACTAAGTCACGCGTTTTATATTAACTTGACCGAGTAAAAAGTACCACCATTATTCTTTTTTCAACTTCTGGATTGAATATCTCTTCTATTTTCCACATTCTCACTGCTCATTTCTACTTCGACTCTTACTCCGTTGCATTTTAGTTGATATTTCATCTTTTTCAACTTCTGGATTGAATATCTCTTCTATTTCCACATTCTCACTGCTCATTTCTACTTCGACTCTTACTCCGTTGCTTTTAGTTGATATTTCATCTTTAACTGGCGAACAGTTTTGTGGTAGATCAAGTGTCTTGTTGAGGAAGAAGTCTTTGAGGATATGATCCGTTTGCTTTTTTAAATTTATAGCAATAGAAGATGCTGCTGTCAAAATCCAACGAATCGTCAACTTACAGGAAGATTAACCCAAGACCAAGGATACTCGCATGAATTATTTCTATTTAATTAATAGAAAAAACAAAAACAGAACCAATTCCATCCAATACCAAACAAGAGTAATTGTATGTAGTGTTTGCTGTTTTTGAATAAATACCGATTGTATAACTTCTGCTTAATAAATTATTTTCTTCATTATTTCACCTGTTATGAATCGTTCCAAAACTCCTTACGCAAGATATTCAACATTGGCAAATCTTACAAAGGAATCCATTCAAAAATTTATTCAATTTTCTATTGGCTCTACTTCCGCGAGACAATTTAGCGTTATAAATAAAATATTCAATAAGGTCATATACTACAATCATGAGTATTGCGATCTGAACACTCATTAATCATTTAAAAAACAACGCGTACCGATACATTTGTTACAATTATAATTTTCGAAAATCTCTGAGTTCACTTTAAACTTTAAAATGGTTATGTTATTGTTGTATTAAAATAAATGTAAAATTGTTATGTTATTGTTGTATTAAAATAACTGTAAAAACAAAGAGAAGCAAATACGGTATCTCGATAAGTGTTCATATTCGAATTGGAATTCAAAATTCGAATATATTAATATCCAAAAATCTGAGTCAAATTTAATTTGAATTGAATGAATATTCGAATAGTTTTATATAGTTAATTCGAATTTATCAGACCCACAAATAAAATATTATAATATTATTGTCAGTATGCTTAAAGTTAAGACTTGTATATATTTATATTTTAAAAGTTATTGGTGATTTATTACAATATTAAAAACCTCACAATACCCACATTCGTCAAAATAATCCTTTCACCTTATCGTTATGTGTTATATTCAATAAGTACCATGATTTATGTGACTATGCATGAAAAACGAGAAAGAACCTCTATTTGGTAAATACAGTCAAATGTATCAGTAACTGACCTTATTAACTCGTCACAGACATAATAAAGCAAAATTTTTTTATTAAAAGCATATAATTTATCGTGATCACTAATATAAAATATAATCGTCATGGGATTCAATTAGCGTTGCCACGCAATTTCTCATATTTTTAACCAATTTTGCCGCTAGATCAGTAGGTAAACGGTTCCATTCTTTGGCTAATTCACTTTTCAAACCGTTAAGAGTTCTAATTTTTTTCGTAATATTCATTTTCATAATCATTCAGCCATTCTTAATTGGATTTTGATCGAATGACATCGATGACCAGGAAAGAACCTTTACGTTATTTCCTCCCATTTTTGTACCAGTTTCGAACGGTGTTTAAGATCATTATCCTCCTGCAAATACAATCTGCACAATTCTCACTGAAAAATATCTCAACGGAAGGTAGAAGACCCTCACTATACAGTGAATATCTCAACGGAAGGTAGAAGACCCTCACTATACAGTGTAACCATAAAATCTGCGTTTAGATTCCTCTGAAAGCAAATCAATTTACCAAAGCCCGAAGTCGAAAAACATTCTCATACATGGATGCTTCACAGAACGGAACACTTTTTTCTACCAGGAAGTAGTGGTTTGGAAAGCTGATTCATATATTTAGCCCCAGCTTCATGCAGACATTGCCGAATAGTATCCACACTAATGTCAACATCATAGTTTTACATTTATGTTTTATTTCATTGGAAGGTACGTTTTTTTTATTTTTGCAACTCTCTTATTTTTTTATCTTATGTTATAGTTGTAATTCGTTTCCGACCCGATTTCGGTTCATTATTTAAATCTTTTGCTTTATTCCATTTTTTGATTATGTTAACTACTGTACTTTTAGCCCAACCGATGTACTTTGCAGTGGTTACAAGTCCAAGCTTTGGACCTTCGGTATGGTTATGTGAAAAAACGATTTTATAACGTTTGTGTAAGGGAAGACATTTTTATGATGAAATTTGATGATTATCTATGGCGTTAGTAGATTATCAACCAAATAGACAATGATAAGCGTTTGTGGGATCAGTTACTTATGATGAAGACTGTTCATGTAACAAAATGGTTTTCTTTAAACTACCAAGATAATCGTTATCGATTGTTTGACATATAGCCGCTCACACATGTAACAGAAGTTTCATCTCCATGATTATTAATTCAAGCAAAATAAAAAAGTGCTCATTTGAACCTTAAAATCTCTAATATATTATTAGCTGTACAATATATGCACAACATACATAATTTGTAGACCCTATGAATCATACAAAAGTTAGTCTAAACTGCAGAACGATCCCTAATTCTAATGCACAGTATAGTTTCCCTTGGTCTCTATCAGTGTCAAAATATTATTGGCCAATTTCATTGAGAAGACAATTCCGTTCATTTACCAACCACCCAAATTCGAAATCTATCCCCAACTGTAGTAATGATTACCATTAATTTATACGTACATGCATATGGTACCAATACGTAATCATCTGTTGGAAAATCTATAATTGCTACATGTATTTCGAAATTTGATTTTATACAAGCTTAAAACACTATCCAATTTACTATTATTGATGTTCACATGCAGTTTGGGCAAGCTTTCTTCTTTGCCTTTTCCTTTATCAAATTTGGAGGAAATACAACCAAAATCACATCTCAAAATCTCACTATCCAACGTAAAAATATTAGCTCCTGTAGCCACACTTCGATGAGAAAGTCAATAAGCTAACAAAATAAGTAAAATCCAGCAAAGAGGATATATAGCTGGCCTCCATATAAATTTTTCATATAATGAATGATTTGGTGGTATGCATAGCTTGTTCGTCATCACCCTCTCTTGATTGTTAGCTTTTGTTCATTGTCCTCTTTGTGTCCATCTTGATGTTTGTCATCTGTTCTTCTTTTTATCTTGAACTTGATTATTTATTATTTATAAATGTACACGTACGTATTACGTACGTAGCTGCCATTTGATGCTCACGCATTTCAGTATCTCATTGTCAACTGATATCTGAGATAATAAACTGAATTCTAGGAATTTTAGCTCTATCGAGGTTTACTGTAATAAATCTAAAATTAAGAAATAATTTAATATATACTAATAAGTGATGATTTTTAATTTATATAATATACATAAAAAGAAGTAAAAATCACTATAAACTCAATTTATTTATATTCATAAGCTATTACCGTACATGTATCAAAAAAATATAAATTTTATAGTCACAACCCTCTAAATCACCAATTTGATTATCCTAGTAAGGTGATTATATCTACAAGAATAGAAATTACTTTTGATCGTTGCAACTATATTTAATTCAAAACACAGTTACCAGATCCTAACAAATTAAAAGTCAGATTATAATTGGGAGATTAATCAAATAAAATTTACAAATAACTACCATTTTCTTTGGTGACAAAAAATGCAATAACAGTGGCTTATTTTATTGAAGGCATTTCATCACGAATATGTAGTCCTTCTTGTAAAACACTTGATACGTGAATATCTTCATTCTCTTTGATTTCGTATGGTATGCTAAAATCGAAACCTGATTTGCAACAACAAAGAAGAATTAGCAATGAATTAATGAAACTAATTAAAAAGAAACTTTCATAATGATTTTACTTTCATTTGCCTCATTTGGTACACACAAACTGACACTTGTCGAGCCTAAATATTGATATAATTTTTAATTGATATGAGATATGATTCATATTTATGAAATAAAATACCTGTATCATTTTTAATTGAAATTGATTTTGTGGTGAAGGTTCGACTAGTGTAGACTGCACTTGGATGTATTTGTTGTTTTTTGTATATACTTGTAAGAGAGCTTTTTTTCAATTTCATCTTATCAAGTTCTTCTAATTTCTGTCTTTCTAGTTTAAGACACTCTTTAATTTCTTCATCTGTTTTAGGATATTCTAGAGAGCTGTAGTACTGAAAATGCAAAGTATTCGGTTTCCTCCCCTCAATGAAATAACTGTCAGCGTAAATAGAGTAAATAAAGTTTTGAATTTTTGAAGTAGATGGTCTATTTTCTGGAATAGGATCCCAACATTTTTCAATAATAAATTTGCACCATCCGGGAACGTTATTTAGTATCTTAGGTCGTAATCCTTTATAGATGTCGTATACAAGATATATGTCATGACTCCGCTCACCAAATGGTCGTTTTCCTGTTACAATCTCATACACAATCATCCCAAAGCTATAAATATCTGCAGCCTTAGTATATGGCTTTCCATTTAACACCTCTGGACTAATATAAGGAAGTACTCCGTAAATGTCTTGATTGGATTTATCTATATCTGCTGGGCTGGTAAGCCCAAAATCGGCAATACAAGTATCAAACGTGAAGATTAATATATTTCCAGGGTGAAAGTCACGGTGAACAAATCCCTGAAAGTGAATTGCATTTAGATCAAAGATAATATGATTTAAATATCTTAGTTTTTCTTTCCAAGTCATTTTTCCATATTTGGAATTAATATATTTGCGAAGATCGCCATATTTCGCATATTCCATTACGATCGAATAGTCATTTGTAGCTGGGTTTTTAGTTATTCCAGAATATTCACAATAATCACTGCATTTTAGAGCAGTCAGAATCTATTTTGGAAACTTATTTAGATTAGAAAATAGCATTATGCTTACGTGCTTACGCTTTAGAAAATATTCATTTTTACCTCGTTAACAAACGCTGACGTGATTTTCTTTGAATTATGTAGTGATTTCAATACAACTACTTTATGTTCTTCAGAGCGTTTAAATTTATTTTCTCCATGATCCCAATCGTAATTGTACAACCATGCTTTATAAATTGTTCCAAAACCTCCTTTTGCAAGGAATTCAGCATTGGCAAATCTTTCAAATGGGATCCATTCAAATGATCTTCTAAATCTCGTGCATTCTTTTATTAGACTGTCGAGATCTTTATTCTCGCTAGACCATGCAGCTTTATAAAGTCGAGAGTGATAATGTGTACATTCCCAGCAGTACTCATTTTGTTGACAACGAGTACATTTGCTACAATCATGAGTATTGTGATTCGAACACTCATTGCAGTAGTAATTTTCTTGACAATCATTACATTTATTACAATCATGAGCATTTTTATCTTGATCAAAGCTATCCGAAGAACTTTCAGATTCCATCTTTAAAGAAAGATTTAAATGTTTCTAGTGATTATGCGTTGCGTTTTGTAGAACCTTAAACAATCTATAATTTCAAGAACAATTCCGAGTTAAATATTTGTCAGGGGGAATAAATAAAGAAGAATGTTGAATTTGAACAAAATACCCGAAAAATTTCCGCCTTGAATAATTATGACAATTAATGAACTGCTTGACTACCAAGAAAATGTGTGGTTAATATCATCGTTTGTGGATTTAATGATATATCGACGTACCGGTACACGTTAAATTATTGTTCTAATTTTATTCTTCGGTGTTAAAATTTATTCTTCACAGAAATTCCATTTGTGTATGTGTGTGATTGTATTTAACGTTAAGAGTCGTACACAAAATTTAAGTTTATTAACATTACGTAATTATTTAGACTTAATGTTATTCATATACAACTGAGTACATGTACTATTAAAATCCAAAATGCCTCGATTTTCATCAAAAAACGTTCTCGTACACACTCTTTATATTCAACCTGACAAGCTACTGCACAAGAAAATGGAAACATATCTTTGGTTTTACAAATAAAGGAAATACTGGAAGCTTTGACGATAAACCAAACTCAGAACGCTCGCGAATTATTTAAGACCGATATGAAAATATTACTCAATCTGAGAAAAGTATGTGCTGTGTATTTAGAAGAAACAGTTTACTTATACAACAAAGGCCATCACAACTATCAGATATTAATAATTTGAAGACGAGTTGACGAAAATTGGTTTGGTTGCTGAAATAACGATAGTAAATCTACAAGGTCCTCGTGAATGGCATTACTTTTTAAAAATCCGCAAAGTAAATTGACCAATAATAAAATCCAAGCGAACTAGAAGATTGTTCCCATTCACATCAAATAGTAAATTCAGAAATCCAGCTGTAAAAGTGATGTGCTCGAAAGCTACCTAATGAACAGTAGAGAACTATTCCATCTTCTCGTTTATTTGAATATAAATACCAAAATTTTAAATATAAGCTTATCTGCTGCAGCAATCAAAATTATCATAAATTACGCACAAAACCTTATATTACTGTTTAACCCAATGTACTATGAAGTAACTTCGTTGTTTATTCGGTGAAATAAATCAATTTTTTGCCCAAATATTCTAATAAATGCGATTCTTATATAATTTAGACACTGATACATTATATTTATCGCTTAATTTTTGTTCACCGGTATTTTTATTGTTATTTTTTATCGGTATATTCCGAATTTTAGACTGAATAGCTGAAGGTAAACAAGAAAGTAGTTGCTAAAATGCATGATTATAAAGATAAATTTAGTGTTTAACCACATTGTCAACAATATTTAATTGAACGTTGAAACTTTCGAGAGACATTTTGCAAGAGAAAAAACCAACGAAAATCACAGACACTAGTCTAAGCATAAAATGACCATATTCAAACAGCGTCACTTCAAGTTTCCTGTTCGCGCTGCCTCGTTGTTAATTAATACAGGATATAGTTGTTCGTTTAGAAAATTATTCCCTACGACTAATGATTAGGCTATTTTTGCATGCGAGTGTGAAAATTACAAGGCCAAAATTCTTTTACTGAGATTATGTTTGAATTGCTACCCCTTAACCAAAAACTAAGACTATGGCTCCGTGTGATGAAGTACGGTCTTTTTGGTAAATTTTATCCACTAATAAAGTGTCTTGCTTCAATTTTACAAACTTTTTGAATAACGAATCAGACAATTTTTTAGTAAATGAATTATCGTTATTATTTTTTATAAGCCAAATATTAGAGATAAACTCGTAAATCAATTTTGACGAATCAAATCCCTATAGTGGAAAATGATTGCTGAAGCAGAGAAACATAAATCCAGCTTTAATTTATACATTACTATAGTAATTAGAAGACTATTGTGGTGTTTTACAATTTGATTCGCCCATATTACTTATTATTTATTGTTCAAGCAAAAAATATGACATAAATATACTGATAGAATATTATCTTAAGACCCATAAATTTAGAAAATTACATTAATTATTCAATACTTTATTTATATTCTAAACTATCGCTATTTACAACTCCATGTAAGCATTTAATTCTTGTAAATCTGCAAATGTAATCGATGTCCAGGCAACTCAACTTTAGAATCTTCATTAACACCACAACAAATTCATTGTCTGTTTCGTGATTACATAGCTTACATGAGAAGGATCACGCTCATTTATTTGTTCAAAATGAGGTTTTAATTGCGTTGATGTTGGATCCGAATTCGTACGTGGTATCGGTATATCATCACTATCGTTATGTCGTCTGGCTGTATTCGGTTTGTGGAAGTGGATGTCTGATTTGTTTCTGAGATGCTATTTTTTGATTTATTTAGCCATGACAAATCCAATATAACGGTAATGATGAATATCTGATTATTAGAAATAGAATTGGGTCCCTGTAAAAAAATAAAGAAATAAAGATTAATTTTTTTATTTAGTGAAAAAGTCCAAAAATATTTCATTACTTGATTACATGAAAGCCACTGAAAATTCCATAGCGGTTGGATGTATGGGTGGAACAAAATGATGACTTAGGAAGCCTATTACTCGAGGAAATAAGAAAAAATTATAAGATGCATAAAAAATTCTAATACCTTGTATTCGTAAACAATTACATATCGCATCAAATAAACGACGAAGAATATAGACAATAACAGCAATTGAATGAACAAACTAGTAAATAACAAAAACAATTGAGAAAAAACAGCAACTTAAATTCTCAAATTAAATATTGAAAGATACCTTTTTTTAATATCTAGTCGAGTGTTTCAAAAAATATTTTTTATGATAAAAGCTTG